CGAACCGGCAACCTTCCGATTACAAGACGAACTCCCAACTCTTGAGCCACGATCGCCCCCACGATTTTCTACTTAATGGAATTAAAAATGGAGTCTGAACAACAGCAAAGAGCGTTTCTATTTTTGAGAACACTACTGACGGCAGGGACCTGACAGTCTGCAGAATTCAGATAAAGACGTGGTCCTTCCACCTGGGACGTTTCAGGTAAAGGTGAGATGGTGTGAGGTTCAGGGACAACACAAACTCTCATGACTCACATCACGCAGGAGGTGGATTGTGGAGACTTGTTACTGTGACTCAGATGTGACTGATTATTGATCCCCTCACTGGTCACATGATCCATCCTCTAATTTAAAGCACACTGGGATCAATACCCCAGTTTGCCCTGTGACAGATGGCTGAAGCTGTTCATGTGATCAATGACCCTCATCGGTCAGACAGAAACACACCATCTGATGCCTCGTAATCAATAACTGATCAATGAAAGCAGCTCTGGAATCTAAAAACAGCAACACTAACGTTGTCCACGTGTGTGTAAACATAAGGTCAGTCAGGTCGTTTATCGAGCCGTCACTGATCACGTGATTTCCGCTATAACCTGATCAGGACTTTCAGTTTGTGGAAACATCAAATTAAACTCCTGTTTGCACCTGGATGATGATCATCTGGTGCATGACTCGTGAGCCGAACCTAAATACACTCAGGATTAAGAAACACTAACATTTACAGGTGTCAGGTGTGTGTGAGCTGGCTGAAGCTTCCGCGAAATGTAAAACTAACAAGTTTTTAAATGAGGTTCGTCTCGTCTTTCTTTCCACGTCTCTGATGTTAGATAAACACAGACTCCCTTCGGAATCAGCTGACCACGTGACTGCAGTCCGGTACTACCTGGCTCTCAGGTGATTCTGTTCCAGCTGAGCAGGCGGACTCATTTACGTGTCCAGCCAGTCCAACCAAACTCCGGTTCATCATTCTGAACACGAAGACTCCACTCATAGAGAAATCAGCTACAAACGGCATGTTTAAATCAGACATAAATTCAAATGTAACCTTACACGTACTCATACAAGTCGCAACAGCCCGTTACCGTTAAACAAAACACTAAACCTCCATTTCTATTTTATTATTATTGTTTGCTGGCCGAATGTCGAATAACAACCCAATAACTGGTACCTGACACAGATTATGTTTACACACTATTTATTTACTGCCTGTAGTCCTAAAAACTTTAAATTCACAGATTTGTGAATGAAGTTCGTCACTGTGTTCTGTTAATAGACGATGAGAGGAGAGCAGATCGTTACCGGGCACGACACCGTTCATTAACATTAATGTCCTTCTTCATGGAGGCAGAGCCGCTCTGTGCCGGGAGGAGGAAACTCACCGGGTTTAACGTACATGTCCTCCATGTTGGAGTCCAGAGAGCAGCGGCGGGAAGCTGGGCTAAGCTAACCGGGAGGCTAATCCACCGAGCTAAACAGGGACCGAAGCTTCGGGGCAACTTTGGTCCAAATTAAACTTAAAGTAAACCGACACAGAGTCCTGCTGTGGACGGGACAAGCCGGGCCCGGGTCAGACTACACGGGGAACGGTTTCCGGTTTCCGGTCCAGCTTCAAAATAAAAGTTTCTTGAAACGTTTATTTATTTTATATTTTTCTAATATCACTCTGAATAAATATTAGAAAGGATATGCATTTTTATATGTATTTTTTCTTGTTCAAGGAGAGATAGATGTGCAAAAGCAGAGAAAACTCTTCTGTCACCACTGAATTATTGGAATAAAATAAATTGCTGCATATAAAATAATAACCTATGATAAAATAATAAAAATATAACATTTAACAATAATATTATACAATAACCGAGTTACTTAAGTGAGTAAATATACATGTTTTCTGATTATGACAAGCAAACAAAGAAACAAGATGACTTTTTAGAGTTAATAATTTATAAATGTTAGTAAAAGCCCAGAAACTAGAAAATAAAATAAACGATTATAGTGTTGCGTTTAAACATGTTCTTACGTTTAATGTTAAGGCTTTTACTTTGAAAAGGAAATGGTTCTGTATCTTGAAATGTCTCGAGCTTCAGGAACGCCCAACATTACAAACATTTCCGGGACACGTGGCCGCTGTGTCACAGATATGATGACGTAGTGTGACACGCAGTGAGCCTGAAATAAAGAGAGAGCGAGACTGTAAACAAACTAATGAACCTGGATGCAGTCATTAGTTGATCTCTGGAGTATTTTATTGTGAAAGTCAAACTAATAACCGTGTAGCGTGCTCCCGTTAGTGAAGTGAAAAGTGAAACTTTGATCCAGGAAATAGAGGTTCAACTCCACAAGACCATTTTAAAACTTTCTCACCTGAAGTTCCTCATCAGTTACAGTCTCTGTACTCGACCCCACCAACCTGTCACATCTGTGTCACACCTCTTAGAGCCACTGATAATTAATCATTTATAATATTTCATTTCTCAGCAAATGATTTGAAAACAAACAAAATGAATTGCCTGTCACCATATCTAACGGTCAAAGTAATCACACTCCAGTCAGGGGTCCCTCAGGGTTCTGTCCTCGGTCCACTGCTCTTTAGCCTGTACATGCTCGCACTTGGTACAATCATAACGAACCACAACATCTCCTGCTGTTCCGTGCAGATGATCTTATGATGTGACCTCTGTCAGCTGCACTGATGACATTAACTGCTGGATGTCTAAAACCAAGCAGAGATACTTGTTCATATTTATCATCCCTGTCTCTGAAGCAGGCCATGCCATCCTAATACAACCTTGGTCCGCGTAGTCGGCAATAAGTCAGACTGGTTTCCAGTGGGTGTTGCACTCAGCCAGGGCTGCCCTCTGTCATCGATTCTCTTCATAACTTTTATGGACAGAACGTCTAGGCGTAGTGAAGTGTCTGAAGGCTTCACTGCGTGGTCTCAGAGTCTCTTCTTTGTTTTTTTGTAAAAAATGTGGTTCTGTTGGCTTCATGGAGTGATGGCCTCCAGCTCGCACTGGAACGGTTTGCAGCCGAGTGTGAAACAGTGGGAATGAGAATCAGACCTCCAAATCTGGAGGAGTATTAATCTCTGTCTCTCTTCCACAGCATGTCTTTATCCTGTCTTCCTTCTCTCACCCCAACCAATCACAGCAAATGGCCCCGCCCCTCCATGAGCCTGGTTCTGTCGGGGGTTTCTTCCTGTTAAAAGGGAGTTTTTCCTTCCCACTGTCACCAAAGTGCTGCTCATTGGGGGTCATATGATTGTTGGGTTTTTCTCTGTATGTGTTATTGTAGGGTCTACTGTACAATATGAAGTGCCTCGAGTTGACTGTTTACCAGACATTATGTGAACGCGACCACAGTAGTAACACTCAGTTTTTTACAGTGAAGGGTGAGATAGGAGAGGGAGGGGAGTGATGACATCAGCAGGAGGAGGAGAGTCAGGGAGAGGGAGGACAGGGAGGAGAGGAGGACAAGCAGCATCGTTTATCAGGCAGAGAGGAGGGAGAGAGAGGGAGAGACAAACGCTGGGCAAGCACAAAGGAGGAGAAGAAGAAGACTGATGGTGTCGTCGTAGAGAGCGACAGCCGGAGGAACGAGAGACACCGAGAAAGACAGACAGACAGAGAGAGAGGCGAACGGGAGAAGACGTTAACAACCGTCCTCTGGGCCCGTGTGTATGTGTGTGTTGGTGATCAGCTGATTGGAACACACGTATTGGAGGGCGGAGCCATGATGGGCAAGGACTACATGTTGGCCATCATTATAGTCAACTATGATGGTAAGACACACACAATCACACATACATGCAAACAGGGGTCCTGGTGCTGCTGCTGCCTAACCAGGACCTGCTAACGTGTTTGTCCACAAAAATGAAACACTGCAGCCTGTTAGCATAATCTCATGACCTCTGACCTTTTAGCTTCACTGCTCTGACACAGACTCATGATTCTGAACTTGTTAGCTTATGTTCGTTGTGTTAGCATGTTGTCATGATTGAACCTTAGAGCTTTAGCTTCAGTCTGTGTCAGTACATCATGTATGTAGCCAGCAGGTGCACCTTTCACACAGTTACTGTCAACGTGGATTATCCAGCTGCAGCACATCTGTCAGCACAGCATCACTGTAGTCAACGTTAAGCTGTCAAATGTATAAATATAAACAGAAATATTACTGGAGGCAGAGAGGGGGTACACAGGTTCACAGATATTTAAGAACATTTGTTGTTGTTGTTATTTGGGGTCTGTTAGCATGATACCATGTGTTAGCCCTAACCTGGCTCTAGAGTTTGTTTGTGTAGGTACGTGGCTACACGGAGTGAAGCATTTGGATATATAACCTAAGTGCTCACTTTAAGTCTTCCAGCTAACCAGCATATGAGTGCTGATTGGAGGAAAAGTAACAGAATAAGCAGAAATAGTCTTCAGTGTTTTTATTGTTTGTTAGCTTCACTGGCTAACTGACTGACCTTCTGGTGTTCGGGGTCCTCATCAGGCCCAAAACATTAGAGAGGGACAGGAAAACACAGAGGGACACAACAAAGTCTACAGAAGGACGGTGGTGTTTGTCCTCCATCACTCGTCTTTTAAAGGGTCATTATGAACTAAAGCTCCGCTGCAGTCGGTACACAGGACGCTCAGGTCACAGCCTGTGAAGTCAGCTGTTTGTATCCAGGGCTGCCATGTTTCTCATATATATGCAGCGTTGGGAAGGTTACTTTTGAAATGTATTCCACTACAGATTACAGATTACATAATCCAAAAAGTATCTTGTAACATATTCCGTTACGTTACTCAATGAGAGTAACGTATTCTGAATACTTTGGATTACTTATTATATTATCATGCTTTTT